ATGCTTGACCATTTGAGCCATGTCCCCCAACCCATTTGTTTGTTCGTTTTTTGACAGTACTGGGATTTGAACTCAGGGCCTTACACTTGCAGGTGCTATACCACTTGAGCCAGCCCCTTTTTATGATAGGGTCTTGCTTTTTTTCTTTTTCTTTTCTTTTTTTTTTGCCTACGCTGGCCTAAAACTGCAATCCTCCTGATCTCTGCCTCCCACATAACTAAGATTACAAATGTGAGCCACCAGCACCTGTCTGTATTTTGTTTTTGAGACAGGGTCTGACTAACTTTGCTTGGGCTGGCTTTGAGCTTGTGATCCTCCTTCCTCCACCTTTCCAGTAACTGGAATTACATGTATGCACCACCACATCCAGCTTAGTTTCTGAACTTTATGTCAGACTTAAATAAACCTTTCTTTTATGTATATATATGTCTATTATTTTAAATTGTGATGAAACATACACATAACATAAAATTCACCATTTTAACGAATTTGAAGTATACAATTCGGTGGCATTTAGTGCACTGCACCACTTTCTAACTCCAGAACTTTTTCATCTTCGCCAACTGAAACTTAATCATTCCCTCCTCCCTTCCCCCACCCTTCCCTCAGCTCCTGACAGCCACCATCCTACTGTCTGTCTGTCACTGAGTTTGCTCTAGACAGCTCAGGTAAGCAAAATCCACATATATTTTAGCGTTTGGAGATCAATGGACACATTCTGGCTGTTGCTGGGCCAGAGAGGTCTTGAGACATTTCAATCTGCACATGCTCTAATGTGCCCACACCCAAGGACCACCCTGCAATGCTCCCCAACCCCCATCTCCCATCCCCTCCACCCAGTTACAGGTTTCTCTCCAGCAGGGATTGACTTCAGGAGCTCTGAAGCCCCTTCTGCTGCTTCCGCAGAGCAGCCACTCAGCCTCACAGAACCAGGTGAACATGTGGATTCCTGGACTTGACTCCAGACCCAGTGAATGTCCATCCAGACCCAATGGGGCTGAGAGACAGCATTTTACCAAGGAGCTCAGATGCCGCCCCTCAGCCAGGAGCTCTCAGAATTAGGGACCAGCAGTGGGTGGCCACACTGGAATAGAAACCTAGAGGCTGAATCCCTCTTTCAGCCACTCTGTGAAATGGGCATAAGAATTCCTATGTCCCAGAGAGGGCAATCCCAGAGAGGACATAGGAATTGAGAATGAAGGCTGATACCATCTGCGGCTGTGTTTTGTAAACTCGGGAATATACACATGCAAGGACTGTTAGCAATACCTCCAAGTCCCCCTCTATTTCTGCAGCCTGCTCAGCAAGATCTTCCCCCTCCCCAGGCCAAGGAATGACAAAAAGCACCCCATCAGGTGGACATCATAGTGGGGTTGGGGGGGGGCCACAGCTCTGGGCAGCAGAAACTCTACCAGCAAAATAGCAGTCAGTTCAATTGATAATCAAAAGGAACCCTTTATTAACCTTTAAATTCTTAAAGTGCATCCACACACATTCCTATTTGTATCTCATGGACGGATGTAATTATCCTTACTAAATTAAATGTCAAAGTGAGATTTCATGAAAGAAACCAGGCTTCAAGGCCAGCCGAGCTACCACCTGTATGGTCTTTGCTGAATTCACCCAAGCCCTTGCTTTTCTTAGCTAAAAAATGAGTGATGGTGTGTTAACTGTATGGTTAAGGTAGGTATTGAACAAGATAAGGTGTGTGCTGGGCTACACATTCCCAGTGGAACTGTCCCGGTCCACCTCCACTTTATGGCACTCAGTTCTCTCTCAAGGAACCTCAGAGAGCTCTAAAAAGCACAAAAGGATGGAAGATGGGTGGCTGCTGGCATCTAGCCTTCTTTGCCCCAGCAATAAACTGAGTTAGGAGTGAAGAGTCTTAAGATGTCTGTTGACCAAATCAGGTATCTCCTTGATTAGACACAGTTACCAGATCAGGCCTGAACTTGCACTAGGAAGGCACAGAGGCTGATGGAGATACCAGCTCAAACCCAATTTGGAGTTCTCACAATCCTGCTTTCTCTCCAAAGACTACTCCAGCCAGATTCAGTGGCTTATACCTGTAATTCCAGCTACTCAGGAGATGAAGATCAGGAGGATCTGGATTGAAGGCCAGCTTAGACAAAAAGTTAACTAGACCCCAACAAAGCTAGGTATGGTGGTGTTCACCTGTGATCCCAGCTGTGTAGGGAATGTAAATAAGAGGACTGTGGCGTGGCCAGACAAAGCAAAAATGTGAGACCCTATTCGAAAAATAGCTAAAACAAAAAGGCATGGGACGGGGATAAGGAGGACAAATGACCCAAACATTGTATGCACATATGAATAAATGAAAAAATGAAAAAAAGGCATGGGAATGTGGTTCAAGTGGTAGAGAGCCTGAACATAAGGCCCTGTGGTCAATTTCCAGTGCTGCCTAAAAAAGAAGGTGTTGTGGATAAAACAGACTCACTAAAGATTGCAATCAGCTGGAAAGAAAGGAATAAACTGCAAGAAAAGCATTTTACAACTGATGAAGAACATTTTTTTTCAATTATTTAAGAACTTTATTAGCAGGTGCTTGCAGTTTGTTGACTTTTTTGAAAAAATCAAGTTGTAAAATTTTATTACAAATTAAAAATGAAAAAAAAATTAAAAACGAAGTTCTTAAAAATCTCAACTTGACCAGATGTGAAACAATTTAAAAGCCTTCAAAGGCATATTGAGAAAAACCAGGCTTTTTAAAAAAACACGTTTGTCATTACCAAAGAGAGATGTCTTTAGGTAAATAAAACCCAAGGCTGCATAGATAATGCAGATAGTTCTAGTTATCTGGTCAACGGGCAAAAAGCAATCAACAGGCAAAAAGCAAGCACGTAAAGTCTTCAGCACCAATCTTTTGTTCATTTCTTACTGCTGGAATTTCATATGATGGAGAACATTTGGAAAATTGTCTAAGGATTTAAGAGACAGTACTACCAAACTGAGTTTTTTCATTTCTTTCCTTCCCTTTCCCCTCCCTCTCTCCCTTCCTTCTTCCTTCCCTCCCTTCCTTTCTTCCTTCAGGAAAAAGGAAGACATTATGAATTACACAAACCCCCTACCCTAAGCCCCAGCCCTACTGAACCAGAATCTGCATTTTACCAAGATTCCCTAGGGGAAGCACTGGTGTTTGATGTGATCCCAAAAAGAAAGTCTCTCATGTAGTGTGACCAAGATGGATTAATATCCACCAAAATGTACCCTCCTTCTATGCAAGTAAACCCCTCATTTTTTAGCTGTTCATATGGCCACACAAACTTTCTATTTCTCAACCTTCTTTGCAGTTTGGTGTGTCCATGTGGCTAAGCTCTGGCCAAGGAGACATGATGGGAAATGGAGAATATTATTTCTACATTGTGCCCCTAAAAGAAAATGTACCTTGACTACCTGGGTGCTTCTTGCTTTCTACTAACTGAAAGATGTCAAATGAGTCCATTGCTATATTAGTCAGCTTGGGCTGCTGTAACAAAATATCACATCAGAGATTAGGGTTTTAGTTGTTGGGTTTTTTTTTTGAGAGGGGTCACTGAGGTTTGAACTCAGGGCCTCACGCTTGCTAAGCAGACACTCTTACTGCTTCAGCCACTTGGCCAGCCCTTTTTCTGTAATGGGGTTCTTTGAGATAGGGTCTCAAGAACTATTTGCCTGGGTTGGCTTGGAATCAGGATCCTGAACTCTGCCTCCTGAGTAGCTAGGATTCCAGGCGTGATCCACGGGTGCCCAACAGGATGAGGGTTCTAATATGTAAATTTGGGGTACATAATTCAGTCCCTAGTAGCTATATTGGACCTAAGGATGGGAGCCCTAACAAAGATAGACTACCCTCTACACTGTTAGATGAGAGAGAAATATAGTCAAAGCACTGTATTTTGTTTCTCTTGTCACAGCAGTTTAGCCTACCGAGGTGACTCACACACACAGTCATATGCAATGCAATGGTGTGTCCATCAACAATGGACGGCACACACAATGGCAGTCCCATGCCTAAGTGATGTCACAGCCATCCAGACCACACTTCCGAATGCGTGAGTAGAATGTACCTTATGATGTCTGCACAATGATGAAACTGCCCCACAGAGCCTTTATTTATTTATCTATTTATTTATTTATTTATTTTGGGCAGTACTGACTGGGGTTTGAATTCAGGACCTCCCACTTACTAAGTAAATGCCCTACCACTTAAAGCCTTGCCGCTCAGTCTTTAACAACACATTTCTCAAAACATATCCCCATCGCTGAGTAGTGTGTAGCTGTATGTGTTTACATACACGCCTCTGAGCAAGAAGAAAAGTATAAAGTGATGTCTTCTGAACTGTTGCCATTAATTGCTGCAAGGGGGAAAGCAGTGCAAAAACTAAAATAAGAGCATTGAGGGGAAAATGTATCCAATAGCATGTTTGTGGTTTGTGTTTTAGTCCATTTTCTACTGCTGTAACAAAATAACTGAGACTTGATAATTTACAAAGGACAGACATTTATTTGGCTCGGGAGCATCTGGGGAGGGCCTTCTAGTTGCATAATGTGACATGTGTGCAAGAGCAGGTCTTCTTATAAAGCCACAAGTGTCATCGGGCCCCACCCTGTAACCTCATCTAATCCTAACTACCTCCCAAAGGCCCCACTTCTAAGTTTCCAACACATGAACTTTTGGGGAATACGTTCAAACTACAGCAGTAAGCAAATGCCCAAAGCTGTGAGAATCTTCACAGCAGGACTCTTAATCACAATGAAATATGATACAAATTTCAGTTCTGTCTAACACTGCCTCCTTCCTTCCCTCCCTCCATCTGCAGAGGAGATTCAGTGTCCCTGGGCAGGACAGGGATGAAGGAAGTACAAGCAGAGAGAGACCTGACATTGTAGGAACACCTTTCCAGGTTTATTTTCAGTTCCCCTCTCTTTCCCAAGGGCAGAGCAGTGGGCATGGGATTTCCTCAGGCCTTGGGATAGCCCATAGCAGCTTTTCTCTCCTCCTACTGGTAAAATGGCATCAAGGGTCCCCACCGATCCAAGATGGGAACCTTGATTCTTCGGTGACGAGGACAGCGACAGCCAGGCAGTAGGAGGTAGCCTTTGCCCAAATCTGCAGCAGGCTGGTACTTGGGCTCCAGGAGGCATGGGAAGTCAGTCCTCTGGTGAACTTGGTTGGGCTCGCCAAGGGCCACATACAGATCCGGGGAAGCTGGGTACATGTAAGGCCAGATACTGGTGAACTTGTACTTGTCCTCCTCTGTGACCACAGGGGCCTGTGGTGGGAAGAAGCCAGGGATCCCCAGGTCTTTAGCCGTCATGTGGGGTCTTTTGAAGGCAGGGTACCCATCCTCCAACTTCGGATTGGGGCTAGGGATCGGCCTAAAAAACTCTCTGTCCCGGAGCTGCATGTCGAGCTTCCCCTGCTGTATTAGAAACAAATCACATGTGGGAAAGGTGAAAGATAACACAGCTTCCCTTGGAAGCCTCCAAGGCAGACACACTTTGCTTATTTTAAAGAATTTTTAAATTCATTTGTGAATGTTAATACATACAACAGGAGGAAATCCTGAACTAATCTAAAAGAGTTTATGGTGAAAAGTAAGTCTGTTTCCCACTCCTCCTCCCTTTGTGCCCATCTCCAGAGAAAACTGCTCTTATCAGTGCTTTTTCTATATCTTTTTAGAAATATTTTATGTACATATCAACATATATTATGTACAGTTCCCTCACCTGGTTTATACACAAATGACTCAAATTATTATAGTCTATTCAGTGTTCTACTTCCATTAAGTCATGTATTTCAGAAATTTGTCCATCTTTGTATAGATCTTATTTTGGATGGTGATAGCTCAGAATAGGAAATAATCTCTTCCACTCAAAAATATGAAATAAAAATGAAAAGACTGATAAATTTGACTCTATTAAAATAAGAACATATATTTACTAAGATAAAGTATAAAGACAAACCACAAACTGGAGAAGAATTTTGCTACACCAATAACTGACAGATGAAAGAGGCCCAAAATATTTAAAGAATTCCTACAAATTAAGAAGAACAAGACAAGCGACCCAGTAGAAAAATAGGGAAAAGGTAGGAACAGACATTTCACTGGATAATAAATTTCCAATGAAAAGATGCCCAACCTCATTAATAGTGAGATCAAAATTATGACCCCAAGGAAATATGACTCCACCTCCATTGAATTTGCAAAAATTTCAAAGTCTGACAATGCCAAGTAGTGACTGCAGTGACAGAAGTGACTGTCCATTGCTGTGATAGTGTAAATTAGTACCACTGCTTTGGGAAACAGTGAGTTGAACTAATGCCCTATAACGTGACCTACTCCCAGAATGGATAAGCTGCACCTTAGGCTGTGTATCATCTTCATTGCGGCATTTGGGGGAGGAGAGTAGGAAGAAAATAAATACCTCAAATGTCCATCAACAGGGGAGGGGACAAATACATTGTGGCATATTCATGCAAGGTAGTATTACACAGCAGAAAATGAATAATAAGCCACAATATTTAGCAAAAACATGAAAGCCATGGAAGGGTACAAGTAATCCAAAATATTTTAAAGAAATACAGACATACAGTGTAAAACTAATTTTTAGCAAAACACGCACCCTTGTGTGTTTAGCAATGATTAAAGCAAAACTCAGAATACTGGCTATCTGTGGGGGTGGGAGGAGGGTTAAGTTTGGAGATACACAGGAGGCAACAGGGTACTGTTAATGTGCTATTTTATGCTGACTGATAATGGGGTTATTTAAACTGCGAATGTGTATTTTACAATCTTTTGCATGCATGACTTACATTTGATATATTTTTAACACATACTTGCAGACATATATGCATGTTCAAAAAACCTCTAAGTCAGATCTCCTGACTTTGGGCGTCATTTTAAGTAAGTGCCACAAATGTCCACATTGAAATAAGGACCATTTCAGGGCTGGGGTAAAGTGGTAGAGCACTTGACTAGTAATTGTGAGGCCCTGAGTTCAAACCCCAGTACCACCAAAAAAAAACCCAAAAAAACAAAAGAAAGAAAAAAGAAAAGAAGACAGATCATTTCAGCGGACAATTGAACAGATGGCAAGCTAGAATGCCTTCCTACCTCTTCTGGCATGGCCTTGGAGTACTTGTGCTTCCCATAGGGCTTATAGTCCACCATGTAGGAGCTTTGGTACATGTCTAAATCCACAGGGGCCTAAAGGACAGAGAGGATACAAAACAAACTCTCTCTTTTCATTCTTTCACTTGAAGCTCTTGGATGGCTTCTCATTGTGTGCAGAACAAAGGCCAACTTTTGGGCCTAGCATTAGGAGCCCTTCATGACCTGGCTTTGTCCCTTTACCATGCATCTTTCTCCCTTCATTCAAGGTCTCTGTGCTCCATCCTTACCTCCCCCCACAGTCACACATGCCTGGCATGTGCTCTTTTTGTTTTGTTTTTTTTTTTTGTGGGGGCTTGGTAGGCAGATGCTCAACCACTTGAGCTACTCTGCCAGCCCCTGGCACGTGCTCTTATCTCCTGATGGAAACCCAATAATTGTCCTTCTTTACTGACTAGCAAATGCCTATGTATCCTTCAAAACTAAATGTCATTCCTCAAAACATCTCCTACCCTTTTATTCTCCACCTCCCAAGAATGAAACCTTTTCCCCCTTGCTTTGGTAGCAGAATTTGCATCTCTTCATGGCAGCACTGATTGGGTGTTCTGTCAAGGATTTAATGAAGCACACTAGATTGAAACCTAGTGTTGAAACTTAGACATCTCTGCAGCCCCAAAATGCAGCACAGGTGCCTGGCACACTGTGGGCACTTAATATGTGCATGATGAATAAACAAACAAACAAATAAATAATTCCCCAGAACACTGCAAACACTTAGCTGTCCTATGCCTGTGGCAAAAAACTAAACCAAACAAAATAAAAACATCATGCCAGAATGATGACCAGAGGGAGTCCCAAAGAGCCTGGCCCTCCCCTGAGACAGTCACAGGTGACAGAAACCCACATCACTCACCTGTCTGGGGTACACAACACCTGCCATGATCAAGGACCTAGACAGACAAGTTTGTTAGCCCTTCCTTGGCCCAAGCAGGGAAATAGCCTTGGCCCCCACCTCTGCCAACCATGCATGGACCCATCCTAGTCCACTTAGCCCCTTCCTCTCACCTCCCCCTGAACCCCCACCCTGCAGATTACCCTATCATCCATGTGGAGGCCCAAGGAATAAATGAGCTGGTAGACAGGGGCCCTGGGACAAGGGCACTAGAGCAGGACTTGGAAGGAATTAGGATTCACTCTTAGAGCATCAGATTTGCCTCTCAAACAGGTAAATCAGATAGCAGGACAAGTGGTATGCTGGTAAAGGTTTTAATGACCATGTCTTTGGCAAACATAAGCCCTGGGTTTACAGCATCTGCCAATTCTTGTTGTGTAAATATTCCCACCATGGTGCATTTCAAGCCATCAACATCCCTAACAGCTGAGTTGCCAAGATGTGCACAGACGGGGCTCTCATGAGCCAGAGAGAGGAGGCTCTGGCACACAGGCCCCCTGAATCAGGGCTCACCCTGCCTAGAGGAAGCCAGGCCCAGGCCTAGGACTCGGGCACCCTAGTTCAGAAGCAGGGTGTCCAAGAGGAAGAAAGTTATGAGGCGCTACTTTCTCAGTAGAAGGATAGCAGCTCCAGGGTCCAACCCTGCCCATCACCCTCAGCCCTGAAGTCCTAGGAGAGGCCTCGCTGCCCAGGCACAGGTGAGCTGTCTGAACTCACTCCGCCACGTGTGCACAGACCCCTAAGTTCATGGTAAGGACTCCATTTCACTCCAGGGAACCCTGCCCTGAGCTCTACTATGTTTAACAAGCTGTGGCCAGCAGGGTGGCCAGACCTCAGCTGTCTCCTGTATTCCTTCCTTTTTACACACAGACAGCTTCTCTCTGGAACTGGAGACCAGCATCAGTACAGACAGAGCCTACCCCTCCTTCTGCCAAGGCACGACAATGCTGCAGCCCTTTAAACCCCACACACTCTCTCCACGTGAAGTCTATGGGCACTGTTCCACTCCCATACTTGTCTCCCAGGGCAGTTCTGACCTGTGTGGTGGAGGCTGTTTCGGTCATAGGCCCTGGTCATTGTGATGTGGGTGGCTAGTCAGCTCTCCTGCAGGTCAGCTGCCCTGTCAGAGTGAGCTGTGGTGTCTTAGCACACCTGGGCTACTGTGAACCTGGCAGCATTGGACAGTACCCAGGGATGTATGTCTTTCTAATACTCTACAGCTCAGTCTGTTTCTGGGAGAGGGAGGAAAACAGAACCCTATGTGGTTGATGACATAAGTATATACCTTAGCTCCCGATGGTTTCTGTTCCCACAGAGGCTGGCTCAACCTATTTGTCAAAACTCTACCCATGCCTTAGGAGGCTATTTAAGGAAGGAATTTTCTGTCTTTTTTTCTTTTTTGGTGTCCTGGGTTTGAACTTAGGGCTTGCGCTTGATAAGCAGGCACTCTACCACATGAGCCACTCCTCAAAAAAAAAATTAAATAGAACTGGGCCTGGTGGTGATATAACCTGTAATCCTAGCTACATAGGAAGCAATGATTGGGAGGATTGAGGTCTGAGGCCCGCCTTTGGCAAAAATGTGAGATCTTATCAAAAAAATAAAGCAAAAAGGGGTGGGTTTGTGGCTCAAGTAATAGAGCACCTGCCTAGCAAGTGCGAGGCCCTGAGTTCTAACCCCAGAACCACCAAGATAAAAAATAAAAAAGAAAAGAAAAGTGGTTGTGGGTGCTGGAGAAGTTGGTGATGATGTGACGTGGTATAGTCACTATGGAAAACAGTTTGGTGATTTCTCACAAAGTTTAAGCACAGTAGTACCATGTGATCCAGTAATTTCACTTCTGGTTATAAATCAAACAGAACTGAAAATAGTTAATCTAATTTTCTTTAAATTATTTTTTACAGTGCTGGAAATTGAATCTAGGACTTCACTCACGCTAGGTAAGGTGCTCTATCACTGAGCTACATCCCAAGCAGGATTGAAAGTAGGAATTCAGAGATACTTGTATGCCAATTCTTAGCAGCATTACTCACAATACGCAAAGGTCCATCTGCAGATGAATGGATCATCCAAATATGGTATATAATATTATGGAATATTAGTCGACCTTAAAAAGGAAGGCATTCTGAAGCCAGGTGCTGGTGGTTCACGCCTGTAATCCTAGCTACTCAGGACACAGCGATCAGGAGGATTGCCGTTCAAAGCCAGCCCAGGCAAATAGTTTGCAAGACACTATCTTGAAAAACCCTTCACAAAAAAGGGCTGGCGGAGTGGCTCCAGGTGTGTAGGCCCTGAGTTCGAGCCCCAGAACTTAAAAAAAAAGGAAGGCATTCTGACACATACTACAACATGGATGAACTTGGAAAACTTTGCACTCGGTGGAAAAAAATAGTCACCAAAGAATTAATGTTGTATCTGTATGAGATATATTCTAGATATCTCAGAGACAGAAAGTAAAATGAAGATAGGTGCTGATGGTTCACACCTGTAATTCTAGCTACTTGGGAGGCTGAAATCAGGAGGATCACAGTTTGCAGACCAGCCCTGGCAAATAGTTCTCGAGACCCCATCTCCAAAACAACCTGAACAAAATGGACTGGAGGTGTGGTTTAAGCAGTAGAGCACCTGCGCAAAGCCCTTAGTTCAAATCCCAGTACCACCAAAGTAAAACGATTGCCAGGGGCTGAGGGAGTTAATATTTAGTGGGCATGGAGTTTCAGGTGGGGAAGATGCAGTTCTGGAAATGGATGGTGGTGATGGTTGCACAATATTGTGAACTTGCTTAATGGTACCAAACTGTACACTGAAAGTGTGAAAATGATAAATATATATATGAATGCCAAAAAAAAAAAACCCTACCCTCTATTTAAGGACCAGCTCCTGCAGGAAGCTTTCCCTGATCCCATTTGATGGCACCATAGACTGCTCTCAGTTACCCAACCAGTATTTATTGAGCACTTGCTTTGTGTTGGGCACACTGTTCTGAACCTTGCAGATTTAGCATGAACAGAATAGGTGAAAATCCACTGAGCATTGGTGGTACAGTGGTTAGCATAGCTGTCTTTCAAAATAGATGGAAATTCTTGCTTGCACACAGTTTATATTCTGGTGACAGGGAAACATAGATCTGTAAACAGCATGATAAGCAGCCAGCCTCCATCAGCACATACGTGAGGTGATGTGTGATAGAATGACTGAGTGGGTCCTTCGGACAGGGATCTGAGAAGGCCTTTCCAAGAGAGTGATGGTAGAGAACAGTCTGAAGCAAAAGCACCAGCCATACAAAGGTCTGGGGCATGGTTTCTGGCTCAGCAAGTGCAAAGCCCAAAACGCAGAAACCATGGGAAAAAGAAGTGCTAGCAGCTTGCTCTAGAGAGGAGGGAGAGATGGGTGAGGCGAGGGGACGGAGTTTACTGTGAATCTCTGACCTTCCTCACCTTTCTACAATGGCATGTCAGGTTTCCCGCTTTAGGGACCACATGGTGTGCAGTGCTGACCCTATGCCTGCTCTACGTGGGCGTGCAGCCACAGCAGTGGATTCGTTGAGATGCTCGTGACCCAAGCTGGGCTGATGAGTGTCATCTTCCTTTCTTTTATTTTTTATTTGATTATTTCCTTCTTTTTAAAAAATTATTGTTGTGCTGGGGGTACATTGTGACATTTACAAATATTCTTACAATATATCATAGTTGAATTCACCCCCTCCATCATTCTCTTTTATCCCCCGTTCCCCTCATTCCTGGAATGGCTTCAAAAGGTCTCATTTTTCCATTTACATACATGTGTACACAATATTTGCACCATTTTCACCCACCTACACCCTCTCCCCAATGTCCCCTTCTGAGAAGGGTGCTCTCTCTTTCTGAGTCAGGAAACACTTAGTAGAGAGAGCCTGGCCAAGAATGAAATCAGCACAGAGGAAAGAAGACCCATGAGATGGAGACATAGTGACGGCATTATGACACTGAGGCCCTGGATACATCCATGCTAGAAGCTTGACCTGCGTCTTCCCTTTGCAGTGTATGTGAACCAATACATTCCTTTTCTTTCTAATGCCAATTTCTGATGAGTCTCTAACTTCTAGCTGAAAAGTCCCAACAACTTTAGCACTAGAAAGTTAAAATAGTTATTTCTCCTACCAAACTGGGAGATTGTTTTTTATTTGTTTGGTTGGCTGTGTTGTTTTAATTTTATTTTATTATTATTTGTGCTGGGAATCGAACCCAAGGTCTTGAACATGCTAAGTGCATACTCTACCACTGAGCCACTCTCCTAGCTCTTAAGCTATGGGATGTTTGAGTAAAGAATCAAATCTCACTTGCCTTTTTATTCTCAATACATTGTCACTGGAAGGTGGGGATAAGTAAAACTGAAAGAAGTGGAAGGCTGGGTGTGCAGCTCGATGGTGGAGCTTGCCTAGTATGCACAAGGCCCTGGGTTCCATCTCCAGCAACATCCCCCCCCACCAAAAAAAAAGAGATGGCAAGAATAGGGCAAAAAATAGAATGGCCACAGGGATGGCAGTGGAGGGGACATACGGGACAAAACAAGTGATCGTTGTGCCCAAGACACAAAATAATCAGGAAAACATTACCAAGTAGATTTTTGAAGTCTAGATTCAAATCCTGATATAGCCATGTGCCACACAATGACAATTCAGTCAATGACAGGCCACACATGTAACAGTTGCTCCATAAGATTAAAATGGTGTAAAAACTCCTATCACCTAGGACAACAGGTCACAGGACCACACATCACTAACGTGAGTGTGGAAAGGCTGCACTGCCTATCAGGAAAGTTAGCACACACAATACACACAGTACGTAATGCTTGATAGTGATAATAAATGGTTATTTACAGGCTTATGTGTTTGCTACACTATTATCATTATTTTCGTGTGCAACTACTTATTAAAAAAAGTTTACTGTAAAACAGTTGTCCTGTTTTGTTGGCAAGCCTCATACATCTCGTGTTTACTGTGTCTTTTA